AAGATGAGAGATTTAAAAATTAGAGGTGGCGTAAAGTTTTGCTAATTCACCGTCTCTTTTACAGTACACGGGTCTTGTTTATTAGATGCCCCGGATCATCCAGAGTGCGACAACGGTGCTCCCACGCGGTCAGCTCACTACTAGCCGCGCTCTCACCTGACTTCACTAAATCCTAAACAGCAACGGCTCCTCCCGAGCCTCGGAAACTCCAGAAAGGATGCCTCCTTTTCCGCTGCCCTCTTCGGGGGTCGCTCCCACCTCCGCCCTCCTCTCCTTCAAGATCCCTCTCCAGCCAAAACCCTAAGCCGCCATTAGACTCCGTGGGCCCCCTCGCCTGCCGCCTCTCCTCCCGCTCCCGTCCTCCACTTCGCGGCCGCCGACACCAATCAAGTTCCTTCAAGCCGTCCTCACAACGACGTCCGACCTTCGAGACCCCCTTAAGTCCACCGCGGTGACACAACCGCCGCCGCCTCCTCCTCCCCCTCTCGCCTCCCTCATACCTCAACGACCCCCCATGTCCCCCTTTCGTGCCCCCTCGCCGATTTTATGGCGGCTCTTGCTCCACTCCCCAGGGGAGGTTTCTGTACGATCTTGGGTCCTTACCACCCGGCCACCGGGCGGGGAGGCTGACGTTGGATCGGGCGGGTCGGGTCCCTGGGCCCGGTAACCCGGAGGAGGAGTTTGCGGTGATGGCGGACGTTGATGCGTCAGCGGTTGATGAGGTCTTGGATTGCTTCAAGAGGTGAGTTTGTCCGAAAAGTTTGGATTTTATTGTAGGTACGGCAGCGGAGGTGTTTGTTGAATTGCTTGTTAGAAGCGATTTTTTCTTGAAACGTGTTAGATTCTTTTGGAAGCTATTAGGCGTTGATGCCAATGGAAATTTTTAGACAAGGAGGGAGGAAAAGCTAAATATCAGTTGGAAGGAAATTTGAGTGTGCTCTCTGTATGAAGAAGTGTAATTGATGAAAATGGGAGTTGATCCGTTAGGTGGTTAAGTTTTGGATTTAGTAGGAGCTTTAGTTTGGACTGTCGGATCAGTTGCTTTCCAGTTATAGCAAAAAAATTAAGGAAGTATAGCCTAGCAGGGGCAAGGAGTAGGGTAAGCTTGTTCTGATGTGCAAATCATGTTTACCTATAGAGCACTGAAGACACCTTGATATTGGTGTGAACTGTAGGGAGTTATTATGGTTAAGGAATACTCCAAGGATTTATAGTTTAAGTTAATGGTAGGTAATTTGGTAGACTAGATTTGAGAGAGTAAACTGACAACTTCGGATAGGGGCTTATGTCAAAGATAAAAAGCTAGATTAGAGCGAGATCTATTGTTTCTTCATCTGCTTAACTAACTTGCAGACGTTGTATATGCGTGAGTTATAGACTTTTAGCATTCGTGCAAGCATTTGTGATTCATATCAAAGCATTTTCTGTTATTTTTTTATAATAGAGTAAAGGGTAGGAGACTAGGAAATGATGGCTGACATGAAGAGATAGTGAATTGGCCTCTGAGTGGAGCTTGAATGGGACTAAGAGTTAGTTTGGTATTAATATTGCTTTTTCCAGGTTGCTTCTGCTTATTATTTTTTTTTTTAAAGTAATGAATATGTTGTTTGGTGAAACTTATGTTGCCATCTTATTGAAACTGCTGCCCCTTTTACGGGGTTCTTTTAGAAGCAACAAGAAGCTGCTTTTCAAAAGCAGCTTCTGCCTTTTGTACCATATCTACCCTTTAGCTTTTGATACTATTATTTTTTATATTCTAAACTTATCTTGTCTATTTTGATAGCGAAAGATATGTCTATTTTTTGTCATCTCGATTATAATAATCTTTATGGACACTTTTACCAAACACATTTTATTTTTGGAAGTAGCTTATGATATATGATTACCAAACATCTATTTTCAGTCACTTATATGAGTTGCTTATACAAACTGCATATATAAGCAACTTATCACAAGTTCTAGCAATACCAAATTGACCCTAGAAAGGCAAATGGTATTCAAACGACACAGGATCAGAAGTAATGAGCAAGATGCAGTAACTTTAGGCCTTTTAAGCTTCTTGATCGAAAGCAGGGAAGGAAATCATCATCTCATGTTGGAAGCAAGCAATTACATTCAGAATTTTAGTATTTTAATCATTCCTCTTGCTTTTTGATCTCATGACCTATGAAGGCTCGGCGGTCTCTTTCCCAATAGTCACTTTGCATTTGGATCTCCTATATCATCTCCTTCTTTCAAAATGGATCCTCCTTAGCTTGCATCACATAATATATGCATTTGTGATATTATGTTCAAGTCCTAGTTCACCAACTTGATTTATTTCTGAACGAGTGGATAGTTTATGTTTTGTATGTTTTTTACCTTTTCCTCAGAACATCAGAATGTGCTATTTGCTTCTGTTATAAACTGATGGGAAGCAGCACGAGGGCTTTGATCTGGAGGCGAGAAATCGCGACGGTTTGGCGGAATGGTGTTGCAATCCATCACGAACAGCAAAAAAGTTATTGTTTACGAGATGAACAGTGTATATGTTTTTGTTTACCCGTGAAGGGGTTTAGGTTTTCTTTTGATATTTTTGAATGGTGGTGATCTTTTGATGAGAGGACAAATGGGTAACATGTTTGAGGAGTGAATTTTAATTGAAAGATATTGTGTTTAGAGGGCTAGGATAAGAGAAGGGTCTCATACCCAAGGGCATCACACCCCGACATTTCAGATGTCATATTTTTAGCATTTCAAATACTAATAAAGATTTCACATCTCAAGAAAGTTTCTCTTCATTAACCATGGTCTAATTCCTCATTGAGGATTACAACTTTATTTATTGAAAAACTAAACCTGAAAAAAGTAAACCAAATCCTAACTAAATCCTAAGAAAGAGGAAACAAAGATAAAATCTCTAACAAAATAAATATTAGAGATCCTAACAATCGTAAATCAAATCCTAAGGAGATCTTTACCTAAAGTTGGGTGATCACATCAAATATTATTAAAATAACAAAGATACCAGCAAATCTATACAATTCCTGATCAACGGTTAATGATCGTCCTGCATCAAATCTTCTCTTGTTTTATAAAACTCGATGTCGAGTTTTATAATGGGAGAGTGTAATGTGTAATTTTTTTCGGTGAAAGTATTTCATCGAGGGCTGTAGGAGTTTCAAGAGAAGTTGTAGAACCCGATATTAAGTTGGCCATGGAGGGTCTGAGATAATGAACTCAACAATCAGATTAATCTAGACCGGGAGTTTGCACTGCATTTCGATCTTAGGCTTTGGAGTTGATGCATGCTTTGGATTTGAATCCACGTTTGACTAAACTTTTAGTTCCAGCATAAGTTATGGCTCTTGTACAGGTTTGAGTTCAGGCTTGAACTTCGAATCAATTTTCTGATGTGGTTTAGCTTTGGCTCCAGCTCAACTGCGTCTCTCGCTTTGGGCTAGGCTCCGAATCAGTATTTTGCTCTGGTTTTCTTCTAGCTCAACCTTTGGCTCTTAGTTAATCTTCCGCTTTGGTTCTCCTTGTTTTAGTTCAGACTCCAGTTGTAGCCTAATCTCCAATTTTTGTTATGATTCTAGATTTGGCTGAACTCAAGATCTGACTATAGGTTTACATCTGGGTGGAGTTGAGGCACTCGTGTGGACTTTGCTTCAGAATTTGAAGTGGAACAACATCTTCTAGATGACTGAGATGAGTCTCTCCTTTCTAGAAAGAGGTTTCACACACCCATGAGCAGATACCTGAATTTGAAGAGGTTTCAAACTCTACATTTCTAGAAAGAGGTTTTGCATTTGGCATATCTTGGACAAAGTTCCGGAGAAGTTGGGTAAATTGGCTTATAGAACAGAATTTATGAAATCTTTCAAAGAAAATATTTGGGACTCCAAGACTGTTAGCTCTTTTGAAGAAAATTGGGTTTCAATTCTTAAAAAAAATGGATTGGAAACGCATGATTGGCTACATGATATCTATAAAATTCGTGAAAAATGGGCTCCGGTTTATCATAAACAACACTTTTGGGCTGGAATGTCTAGTAGTCAAAGAAGTGAAGGGATGAATGCATTGCTAAAAATGCATGTATGCTCTGTAAATTCTATGCATACATATAATAAGGGGTCATTGTATAAACTTCTATGCATATTATGCTCTGTAAATTCTGTTTGTTCTATGCTCTGTTAATAAGGGGTCATTGTATAAACTTCTATGCATATTATGCTCTGTAAATTCTGTTTGTTCTATGCTCTGTATGTGCTCCTTTATTCAAAAGCTCTGTAATCATATTATGCTCTGTAAATTCTGTTTGTTCTATGCTCTGTATGTGCTCCTTTATTCAAAAGCTCTGTAATACCCTTGATTCAAAGACTGGCTTGAACTCTTTCTATGCTCTGTATGTGCTCATGGACCCCTGCAGCAATCTACTCAACAAGTTCTGAGCATGTATAATGACCTCTACAGAATTCAAATGAGAAAATGCAACCAATTAGTATCATGCTAAAATTAAAACATTTACTCATTCTTGCATTTGGAACATTGATTGATTCAGCACTTGATAATCATGGATTCTTGGGAAAATGAAAACTTGTTCACACATATAAGTACACATCTTCTCTAGCTTTAAGCTTAACTCCATGAAAATTTCAAGAAATCGCTCTACCATGTCGGAAAAAATACTGATCATGCAACGTTGGAATGTGACCGGTGCATTGTACAGGCCAAAAGGCATGCGTCGGTATGCGAATGTTCCATACGGGCAAGTGAAGGTGGTTTTCTCCTGATCTTCTGGAGCGATAGGGATTTGATTGTAACCTGAATATCCATCCAGGAAACAGTAGAACTCGTGTCCTGCTAAACGCTCTAACCAACAAACTCTCCATTCACTTGAATGTTCTTCTCATCATTCACAACATTCTCATGTTAAGAAAATACAATAAACTCAAAACACAATCTCATGTTAAGAAAATACAACAAACTCAAAACATAGCATTCTCAGAAAATACAACAGACTTGAATGTTCTTCTCATCATTCACAACAAACTCGCAGCAAACTCAAAACAGCAAACTCAAGGCAACAAACACTTTTCAGCAAACTCAAATGTCATTAGGGAAACAATTTTTCAGCAAACTCAGAAAATACAACAAACTAATATGTTGCTCAGTCATTTGACTATAACACAGAACAACAATATCAGTACAACGATACTTAAAAATTTCAAATATAAAATTACATCATTCAACAATTTTTTCAACACCTCATCATTTTTTTCTAGCCTTTCCAGCCTTTTTGTGATGTTCTTGTTATCACCAACCCATTCGAAGAAGTTGCAACCCTTGCAATTAGGTCCCTTGTATCTCGGGCATCCATAAAATTCCAAGCCCTTATTGTGTCCTTGCTTGCACATCCGTATTTTGCAAATTAACCCACAATAACATTTTCTTTGAACTAAACCCTCATCTTCTTCTCCACTGAACTCACACGAAAAGTTCTTCATTATGGCACGCGATGTCTTAAGATACAAAACAAGATGCATATAAATTCAGTAAGTTGACAGATATAATAGGCAGATAAAAAGCAATGACACCTCCTTTCCATCTTCTACCAACCAAAAATTCAGTAGATACAAAAGATATCCATCTTCTACCAAAAATTCAGTAAATTCAGTAAGTTGCAAACAAGGAAATATAATAGGCAGATATCCATCTTCTACCAACCAAAAATGAGAATAGAAAATAAACTATGAGAAAAGGATAGCCCCTTCATAGATACAAAAGATACCAGAAAACCCAATCAAGAATTACCTAAACAAATTTCACGCAGTGCTGTAGATATGCGGATGCAACGGTGCTGTATTCAAAAAAATCACCTGATCAACAAAACCCATCAAACAAAACCCACATCTTTCCCATGAGTAACATACCAATTCCCCCAATAACACAAAATTTAACAATAAAAATCGAGTAGGATACATCACCTGAGGGATTGACCTTGTGCTTGTATCCGGCGGTGGGATTGACCTGCCACTCGACGAGCTCCTTCTGGAGACGATTGCATGCGATCTTGCTTAGGGCCTGAAATCAATGGAGAAATCAAAGTAGGGTTTGAAATTTTTTGGGAGAGGAGAGAAAACCAATCATTACTTTGCGAGAAGAGGAGGTCAGAGTCGGCTCACGTCCTGGGTCGGATCCGAAGTTGGAGGAGGAGGTCGGAGTCGGAGTCGGAGTTGGTCGGGGTCGGGGTCGGGGTCGGAGTCGGAGTTGGTCGGCGGCGGTGCTTGGGGTCACGAGCGAGAGAGGGAGGGGAGGGTTTGAGGAGATGGTCGGCGGCGTTGAAGAAGATTCGTTTCACGAGCGAGAGGGCTCCACGAGGGGGAGAGAGGGAGGAGGGTTTGAGGAGAGAGAGGGAGATTTGAGCTGAGAGAAGGAGACGAGATTTAGAAGAGGGAGGAGGATAGCTATGTCCCTGTACCCTATATTTTACAAATTTGCCCTGCCCCGTATCGGCACCGGCATTCGTACCTGTACCCCTGCAACTTAGCAAATAACTGAAGATTATCAGACATCAACTAACAGTTCAAACTCTACTTTTTTGAACTTAAAAAATATATCGTTGTCAAATGCTTTTTTCTCCTTTCACCAAATGTATGCATGTGAGCATTATGCTTCCTGTCTTGTGTAGTGTTGTCTTAATTTTTCATTGCTAACAAAATGCTTGTTTGTTATTCAATTCTGCTATTACCTTGCATGCTTTCTTGACAGTTTTATTCATATGATGTAGGTACCGCCTAAGGTCCAAAGTTGAGATCGACAACCTTGACAATGAATTCTCCTGTTGGCAACGCTTTGGTGGCAATCTCTTCAACAGTGACCAAGAAAATCTAGAACCAGAGGCTGGTTCAGTCGGCTGGGGGATGGGTGTTGATCGTGCTGGTGCATCTGCTGCACACGGAAATAATTCAGGTTGGCAATGGTTTAAGGATCCTAGATTGGACTGCCTAGGATTCAGGGGAATTTTCCCATCCAGTACAACTCGTAAGATTGCAGTCACTACGATTTATTTTTTTTCCATAATCATCTTCGATGATATTTAATTTTGCCCATCACATCCCATATGTGCTTTCTATTTATTTCATACATAGTTGCTTTACTTTTTGTTTACAGCACCATTGGTTGAATCTGATAAGGAAACCAATGAAGAACATTACCTGCAATGGAGAGTAGAGAGAGGAATCGCAGAAGGTTCAACCGAAATTCCAAAAGGTATACTCGTTTTTTATGTCTTTGTCATTCCTAGTTTTGCCTTTCAAATTTTTGTACCGGCATTTTATCATAGTAAGTGAATCCCTAAAATGGTAGAATGTATCATGAACATATCATGAACATGAGGTATTTGATCAAAATTGTCAACATAGGAACCATTGGAGTTTTGAAGGGAAAGCTGAAATATTTAAGTGTACCGTATTTGTAAATTGGAAACTGTAAATGTATCATGTAACCATGTTCTTTATAGAAGTGATCCTCTATATTCTATAGGTATGTGTAAATGGGAAGTTACGAATAAGTTCTTGCGTAACTACATCCTTAGAAGTGATATGAATCTTGGTTAAAGTGATTAATATAGACCTGAGCAAGGGTGGAGCCATATAGGACCCAGTAGGGCCCTTGTTCACACTGGAAACTAGGAAAAAAAAGGAGGTATTGGTATATTGTCAAATTTGAAGTATAGGGACTAAGCTGTAAATGAGCCAATTAAAAGAGAAGCAGAATTCTTTCTTGCGTTGAGACTTGCCTTGTTGTAGAAGAAAATTTTTGTTATTTGTTTTTTTTTGGGGATCAATTGTGAAGGGAATGAACGGATGACTTTTTAATGTAGTGGGAAACAAGTAGATTGGCTAATTGTCTAAGCATGGAAGTGATATGTAATTAGAGCAGTGAATTTGGTAACTGACATGTCTACAATGTGTTTGATCAAATGTCTAGAAGAAGCTACGTGCATAATTTAAATCAAGTTTAGTACTAAAGCAGAAGCCAAGCTCTCACATTTAGAGTTTTGGGACAGTAAATTTAGCTTGAAGAAGAAATTTAACCCGAGGAACTCGCATGTTGAAACATGGTAATATGATATAATGATCTCCGGAGAAAATATGATTTTAGTTACCACAATGAGCTTTAGTTCTATGAGTGAAAACCTAGATTTTTGAGGGATGTTGTTGAAGTTACATTGCCAATTTCTTTCTCTCACATGATTTTGGTTGGATTTGGGTTTTGCAGGTGGCAGTAGGCAAGGAAGGTTTATATTTATGTAGAGCTACTGTTCCATGAGGGTAGTTACTGTCACATTAAAGCCATCATCTTGTTTAGATTTTAATAAATTGTGTTAAAAAATATAGTGTTTAATTATTTTTGGACCCCTCACCCCCACCACAGAAATTCTTGGCTCTGCCACTGGAACTGCATTTAGGGAAGGGTGCCAGCTGAAATATTTAAGTGTTTTTTATTGTTATCGAAGTCGGAAGGAAATGATGCATCTTGATGATTTATTGATATGTTTAGTGAATGTCAGTGGGGTGCCTCTCCATATTGACAACACATCAAAACGAAAAATATGAGGGGTTTGGCTACCATAGATTGTAGTTGATTTTGTATAACGGCAGTTAACGGCAAAACGATTGATATTAAGATTAACAACAGTTGCTATTGTCTAACAGAAGACAATGCAGATTGCAGAGCAAGTTTGGGTAATAGTGTGTGAACAAGAGCTAGCAACTTATTGGTTGTAATACTCGGTGCTTTGGTTGTAGTTTTGTCTGTCAACTAATACTTATATAAAACATCCCAAAGAAAAATTGGTCTTAAATTTAAAAATAGATGAGAAATAAAGGTTTTTCAGCCTTTTTCTTATTGAGTTTTTGTAGGAGCGAAGTTTGTTCCTATAGGTGTTGCTGCTTGAATTTACTTGAGGAATCCCTTTATAAAGTGGGTATCTTTAGGGCATGATTGTTACTGTGTTCAATGTGAGTAAGGGAATGGATGCATGCATATGTGCATGTACATGAATGTGCATGTGTTTGCACTTTTTTATAAATAGTACAGAACAAAAGGTAAATGTAAAAAAGAAAAAGACAATACTAATATCATGCCATTTGCCCTAATCAAGCAAGTAAATGAAAGAAAATGACGAGTATAAAGTTAAATACATTGCCCCACCTGATATAACTTTATGAAGTATCTCACATTTGTGTCATGTGTTAAGTGTTTGCAAGGCATTAGATGATGTTGAGATAGTATCCTGATGAAAATGGAGTTTTATGCCCCCTCGAGTTGACAAATGACTCCAATGTTTCTGCGCATGATTTTTATGACTTTTTTAGCAGCTGATACAGCTCTGGTATGCAATTTTTTTTGGCTCTATACTGTCCATTATGTGCCTCGTAGGTGTTATGCAGCTGGTTGTATCGAAATGATATCCACTTAAAATCTCCATCATGCAGTGTGTTATTGCTTGCCATTTATTTCACATTGTGTTACCTCATAGTTTTGCATGTACGGATTAAAATCAAGTACTTTATTCACATGTGCCAGGTGACGCCATTCCTCTTGAGTACAACCTTGTGGGGTTAAACGCCATATCTTTTGATAAAGGATGCTATGTCGGTCAGGAACTCGTTGCTCGAACACACCACCGTGGCGTAATTCGTAAACGTTTGCTCCCAATGAAATTCACCGACGATAACGGACGAGGTATCGATGTTCGCCCGTCAATTCAATTCTCTGTAGTAACACCTTTAACATCTTGTTATATATATATATATTTTATCAGATATGGAGCAAAAGGTTTCCCCAGGATCAGAAGTGATAGATTTGAGTTCAAATAAGAAGGTTGGGTCTGTGAATACCGCTCTTGGGAGTTGTGGGATGGGCTTATTGAAACTTGAAGACGCCTTCAAGAAATCTGGGAATTTGAGAATTAAGGAGAGGGTCGATGTGAAGGTGAAGGTTATAAGGCCAGATTGGTGGCCAGCAGAATGGACACGGTTGCATGAACAACAAACTGCAGCCGCTTAAAGATATCGAAAAACCTCAAATGCCATCTCATTCTGCTTGTAGCAGCCCATATGGGGACTGATAATTAAGGGGCAAAAACCTCCAGCTCTGGTATTTTATGTCCCAGAGATTTGGAGTTGGGTAATTCTGGTATATATTCTAGTTACGTATTCTACCATTCCGAGTCCAAAGTGCTTTGTAGTTGTAACAAGTTTTGAAGGTGAATAAAAAGGTTGCTCACCGCACCTTTAAATGCGTACCCTTGTATTCTAATTTTTTTTTTTTACATAAAAAAAATTTATTTGTTTAGAACGATGAATCTATTCCTTGTTTCTTTCAGCTGGCTGTTACGAGCTCTTTTGAACAAGGAAGAGAAGCAGTGGGAGTGTAATTAGGAGGAAACTCGGGATAAAGATCAATTATCAGAAAGCTGTGAATGGATTTATTCATGACCAGAAATTTGGGATAAAACTACTTGGTTGTTAACGAATGTAGGACCTCATTTATTAAGTTTGAACAACTTCATTGTTATTGAAGGCACCGTTTGGTAAAGAGTTTCTTAACCCCTTCTTAACCCGTCAAACACAACAAGGTTTAAAGTGAGTTAACCTTCCATAATTTGCCAAACATAAAAGTTATAGAAGGGTTAAGCTAATCCCTCTAGAGGGATTAAAATGAGTCAACCCCTCAAAATGAGGGGTTTACTAATACTCTTATTTAGAAGGATTAATAGTTAACCCTTCTAATTATAAAGAAAATAGTTAAAATCATTGTTATTCCCAAACACTAAAACTGATCATAAGGACTAAAATATAATTTATTTAACGGGTTAACAATTTAGTCCTTTAGATTATCGAATGAGCTAAATACATTAATCCTTTTTTTTAACATTTTTAGTACGTTACTAATGCCACGAATTGAGTAGGAAATACTAGGGGTGGGCAAAAACCGAAAAAAACCGGTTCAACAGAAAAAACTGTCCGAAAAAGCGGGCTGGTTAACCGAACCGGATTAAATGGATGAGAAGAAGACTCTAAACTGCCCGAACCGAATTAAACCGGTCTGTATCCGGTTTGAACCCCTGAACCGCCCGAAAAAACCGAACCGAATTTTGCTTAATTGATTAAGTTATATGTGGCATATTCAAATGAAAAACTCGAAGGAGTTTGTTATTCATTTGAAGTGGGCAGTTGAGTGTGCGTCCAGTCCATCTGTCTTTTTCATTTGAACATGCCTCTATTGAAAATTGCTTAAGCTGCTTCGCTACCAAGAATTATTAGTAGTATCTGTATTTCTTTTTTGAGAAATTCTTCTTTGTGCAAGATGTATATAAGATTTCTTTCCTCCAACTCTATTTTTCTTGTTGATATGGTTTGCGCTCATTTCACTGATTTCAGTTTTTTGTTAGCTATGGTAATGATGTTACTTCAAACAAGCTCCACATTTCATTGTTTGGGGGGGAAATTAAGTAGACAAAATGGACAAATAATGATACTTCATCAGAAATTAATAGGCAATGATCTCAGGTGTGAGCAGATTTTTGTGAAATGGAATTAATTCGGCCCAAAATCGAAACCGATCCGAATTTCGGTTGGACAGAATATTCAGATATCTGGATCTGGATGAGATTTTTGAGAATTCAAAAAATTCGGATTGGATACGGATTGGGCTTAAAACCAATCCGAACCGAATATGTCCAGCCTTAGGAAATAGATGATTGCGGATATAGGGGCCGTGAACAGAATTGGGCTCGGTTTGTATTCTGAGTACTGGGCGGGGGTTGCGCGGTTAGCCCACTGGGCTAAACACCTCAATTGTGCCCATAAATATAAATAGCCCGTCGAAGTCGATTAGAAACCCTAGCAGCCGCGAGGGGGTTCCTTCCATCTCTCTCGGTTCTTTCGAAGTTCGTGAAACCCTGGTCGTAATCAACAGCAGCAACAGCAGCAGCCATGGGCCGCATGCACTCAAGAGGGTAACTCTCTCTCTCTCTCTCTCTCATCTGCAAGCTCTTAACCCTAATCGTCTTCAATTCCATCAAAATTGACAGTTTTTCATTGATTTCTTTCATCACAGTAAGGGTATTTCGTCGTCAGCGTTGCCGTATAAGAGGACTCCGCCGAGCTGGCTCAAGATCTCCTCTCAAGACGTAAGAGAATCTCACCACACCCTCGGAAGTTTTTTTTTTTATAAAATATTTTTAGTTCTTTGCCTATAAACCTCCAAGTCTACCCTGTTTGCAGATCTACCCCCCAAATGTAGATGTTTTCTTATTACCCCCACCGAAAATCTACTTCATTGAGTTAACGTACCCATAAATTTGCTAGTGTATAAAGCCATACTTACTTACGACGAGGTTTTGATTTGATGAAGCTTAGTTCTTTTTCTAGGTGGAAGAGAACATCTGCAAGTTTGCGAAGAAGGGACTGACGCCGTCGCAGATTGGTGTCATCCTCCGTGACTCCCACGGAATTGCGCAGGTGAAGAGTGTTACTGGAAGCAAGATCCTTCGCGTTCTCAAGGGCCATGGTACTTTTTCTGAATCCCAAGTCTTGTTTCTATTTCAAAGGGTTGTTTGGTTGACTGCTTTCTCAAGGGCCATGAACAAACACTTGATTTGCAATGAAATTACATTTCCTACAAAACAAAATGCAACTCCAACAGCTTTTTCTAATATGGATTTGGACTTGAAAATACATCTGCAACTAAAACTGAGACATCAAAACGACAGGTTTGAGGTTAAGTTCCTGCACAATGTTTCATTTTCTGAATGCAACATTTGCTTCATTTACAGTTGCAATGCCAAACACCTTGAAATAGTTTTGATTTTGTTAATCCGTTTTGACTGGTTTCTTTGGTTTAGGGCTTGCTCCTGAGATCCCAGAGGATCTGTATCACTTGATCAAGAAGGCGGTGGCGATCAGGAAGCACTTGGAGAGAAACAGGAAAGATAAGGACTCTAAGTTCAGACTTATCCTTGTTGAGAGCAGGATTCACCGTCTGGCTCGATATTACAAGAGGACCAAGAAGCTTCCTCCTGTCTGGAAATAGTGAGTTCATTGCTCCCCTTTCTTCTTAAACTCATATTGCGATTATGTGACCATGATTTTACATGGGAAGCGTTATTAAGTTCAAGTGATTGCAGAAGATTGATCTTTTTTCATTTTGCTAACAAGGAAGCTTGATCTCTGCTAAAGTATTGGGCTTATGTTATTGCGTCAAGTGATGATTCTCATAAGTTTTATGATTCTTTTGGGTCTGTATTTGAAACTTGAAAGTTGTCCAAGTTTGTCTTCGTATGATTACTACTCGTCATACTCGATGCACTTTGTCGATCGCATAACATAGTATTGAATGATTGCATACCAATAGCTGTTTCTTTTTGCATGTTATATGTTGAAGGCTTAAGGTTTTTTAGTCAATTTTTTATTATCACAATTGACATGAAGTTTAGGTGATTATCATGAGTCTTAATTTAGTTAGATGTATTCAGATAAACCTAGTACGGACTGAATTTAAACATTAGTCATTCTCATTGCTAATTCTCTAGCATTCGGGTCTGATGTCCATTATGTTATTATTATTTATTAATCATTAATAATTGAAAAACACTCCAAAGTTAATCATCGGGAGGCATTTGAATCTTCTACTTGTGAGAAGCCATTTGAGTAATTTATAGGAGCATTGGATAATAGGACAGTTAAGAAGAGTTACAGTGAAGGGGCGAAAATACAGAAAGCTTCTTCAGATTATCAACTGATTTACTGGTCGATTTGCTATTGGTTGTCCTTTTAAGATCCAAATTGGATCAAGTTGGTGTTTATTTTCTTTGTATGCAAATCCAATCATAGAGAGACATGGGGATGGATCTGTTAGATTCCAATTCTTCTAACTGATGGGTCCAGTTAAATGTATTTATGTCTAGGTCTATGCCAAATGTTTGGGCTTGGAACATTGGGACCAATCTTGACCATGAAAATGTTAGATTTAATTTTACAAAGTAATGACATTAGAAAAAAATATTGATAAACAATGTTGATGAGGCGAACATTAAAATTTATAGAATTAATAAATATAAAACATAGGGTTATACGATTAAATATCTTGTGAAGTAGTGAGAAATTATAAAACTTTTAGTCGGTAACAATGATAAGGGAAATAGCAAAATTCAATACAGAATAGATATAAAGTTGTTTCGTTTAAGTTACTTGCAACTTTGTGCTGCATTGGTGGATATATGCCTGTGATTTCAGAGCATGTTGTCAAGATACGGAGACTGACAATTGGATATTTTGTACTGAAGTGAGGTGAATGACGAAAAAAATTTAATGTTCATTTAATTCCAAAAAGTGACATGTTTTTGATAAACTAGTTCAATTTTGTTGGGGAACTCTCACAACTGATGATGCATAGTAATTTGAGAAACATATTCAGAAACAAGTATGGGTTTTGAGAAAAGAATAAAAAAGAATATGAATAATAACAGTAGGACATTTGACTGAGAAACTAGTTAAGAGAGTTTTGTACATGTTATGTGCTGCACAAACTAGTATTGGTTTTACCCATTGTCAAATTTGGAAGTTAAAATAATGAATTTAAATGGGGATTTGTTTGATAATAAATAAGTCTTTAAGTAAATATTGGTTGGATAGTTGGAGAGCAATCTAAGTTGTTTTGAATAATTGGAGACCAAGCTAATCCAAAGTAAACAGGATCATTACAAATAGGAATAAAACATGGGAACTGCAATACCTAGTTTCACCACATCTAAACCAAAAAGTAATCCTGACGCTGTAGTATGGCAGTTGTGTCCATTCCAATTCCAGCATGTTTAATTGCTGCAGTCTAAATTTAAGAAGGAACACTTATGTACTGTTATTGGTATCGTTTGAGAAATTGTGAGAAGATACTTAAGCAACTAGTCTTATTTTGTTAGTATTGTTGTGGCTAATATTTAGTATACAATTGCACGATATTTAAGCATTTGACAGTCAGTTGGTTCTAGATCCTTGCTTAGCGCGTATGTATTTTGTGTGTAGGAAGAAAAACACCATGTTAGTCTTCATAGTATCTATGACTTGAATTGTGGATGGCGGGGCGCAATAATGGTTATAGTTAATTTTTAAAGAATATAGGGGAGAATTTGACACCAATGCACTGTACATCCTTCTGATTATTTCTAAGAATGAACAGAGGCCTCTTATACAGTCATGCATACCACTGATGGCTCCATATATTTACTTATTGGATTAAAGAAATATGTTGATATGCAGATTTGAGAGTTCATATTATTATTCTCATTATACTTGTTATAACCAGAAATTCTATTTCTAATATTTTAGATTTTTAGTTCTCTGATAGTTGATTTCGTTGTGCAATGGGACACTCATTTAATGTACAGTGACAAAGTCTTGCAACATCCGTAACTTTATTAATGTCCAAGCTACTTATGATATTTGTACGCATGTTGTTGCATTTTCTGCTACTTGTACACAATATTAATGTCCTATTAATTAGTTTACTCTTTGTTTGCAATGTCCAGTTTATGTTACATCTTTCCTCTTTAATGTTCCATGTTCCTAAATAACACCAAATTTCTCCCTCTTTTTGCAGCGAGTCTACCACCGCAAGCACTCTTGTGGCTTAAGTTTTTCTTTGAAGATGTCGGCCAAAGTGGATGCTTGTGGGGAGGAAAAAGAGGGGATGTGAGTCTCTTTGAAGTACTTGATCTGATCAATGGCTTCATCAGAGTAATGAACTAGGTCTTGTTTGTTTTCTGTTTTTGTGAACCGAAATACAATTTTGACGTTTAGATCTTAATATGCTTTTTGTTGCTTCAGTTTGTCATTAGCATTTAGTATTTCATGAGAATTGAGTTATATGTTACAAATCTATTTTTATCCTGTCCTGTCAAGTACAAGGAAGAGTAGTTAAATTTGTATGAACTCTATTTTTCATAGTAATTACTTTTGGTTCTATTTTTTCGTTTTAACGACATTCTGTTTGTTGTGGTACTATACTAGAGAAGTTTCGCAGTGCCTGTTTGGCAAGTCCACAAAATAGGATAAGGTTTGGTCCTTGTCCCATTTTGGAGAAAATTAAGGTTGTGTTTGGCGACGCCGTAAAACTGCGTCAAGACCAAATCTGACCAGTTTTGGGTTTGCTTCTTGATTGGCAAAAACTAGGTCAATTGTCGAATAATTTTTTTTTTAATTCTGGAAAAAAGACTTAAAACTAATTCTTTTTTAAACCACCCCTCCTTCGGTTTATAAAAGAACCAGTTTGCCTCAAAACTAACTAGGTTAGGATTAGTCCTGATCCAATTTTGAGTGTTTTGCTAAACACACCTCTTCGTATTCTCATGTGATCAGCTTGCTGGGAGGTTTTTGATATCTAAACGTCTTGCACCTAGTGCTTTAGGTCACCATCTATGTTGTAATGTTAACTCACGTATTCTGAAGCCAGATGTGAATCCTTTTCTCCCTAAGCTCTTCTGCATGGAGAAAGTATTCACTGCACAAAGATATCAATTCTTGGGTCAGAGCATAGATCGATCAGCAAACTTGTCAAAGACAAGTCCCTTTTGCATTATTGATGTTGTGCGCTAAGGGGCTATTTGGTTCCTTGATTTTGAGGGAAAGGCTCTTTTGAAAGCCTGCCAAAAGTGCAACTTTTTAGTAGGTTTTCAAGCAAAATCGTCTCTTTTAAAGGTGATTTTGCTGAAAGCCTGCCAAAAATGACACTTTGTAAAACTGCAAATTTTTTCAAAGAGTACATGTTTCTTCTTTGCCGACGTCCCAATTTTGCTTCCGAACGCCTGTCATGATGTCACCATTATCTTTCGTGTGAACCTGGGTCCGCCACTGCTGTCAGAATTTGTTGAGTAGATCAACGTTATATGTGTTGTCTACAACATATCTCATGATATTTTGGTCGTATAAATTGGGAGCATCTCGTGATGCCAAAACATATATCCTGATGTTATGAACCAGCCCTGTTCAAGAAATCTCATGCTATTTTGATATTTCAGGGCATGCATGAGAGAGCATTTCCTCATTAAACGTCAGTTATATACAACAGCAGCTGTGATTGCTATTTCCTGTGGTTGTATATTCTAGTTATTTCTTTTTTAGTTTACGGGTTGGTTATTTACTTTCCACGTGCAGTTAATAGCGTATGCTTGTTCTGAAGTGCCGTGGCTTTTGCGTTTTGAGTTGAGGTTGGCTTCACGTTAACCCCATGCTCAAAAATCACGCTCAAAACTGTGCAAGTTGTCACCGTAGATGTTGGAAGTAATTTCTAAAAATATGAAATAGAAAGTAACAGAAGTAATATATATATATTTTTGCTTGTTTCACATATTTTTGAAAGTAATGAAAATAATGCCTCTTCTATTTCGTTCATTTTTTATTTTGTTTGGATAACAATTAAAAATGTTGCAAGGAAGTAATTAATACGTCATATAAAAACATAGTGGATTCACCTCCATTTATCATATCACTTTAACTAATACTGTAACGCTCTAACAAATATTATAGCATTTTAAATTGAATTATACGATATTAATCCTTTATAGTCCGTTGACATGAGTTTTGATCTAAGAAAATTAGCTTTGGATGTTGCCGCTGTATGGAGGATTTTATAAGTGTATGGGTTAGAAAATAAATTAGTATAAAATAATGGGGTTAAATTGGAAAAACACTTGATATGAATATGATTTTTTTTTAAAGGCGCCAGGTGAAAAAAATAGTTAATGAGATCCATTTGGTTGAGAAGAGCATTGAACCGGATCCTCGCTTTCAAGCCATTTGTGTGGACCCCACACACAATGACACAGTTTCTTCACTTTACTTCCGAGCTGGGAGGCGCTAAAAAAGGTTTTGAGAAATGACCATATGGATTAAAATCTCATGTCAGCCCGTGCACTGTAGCAAGCGAGTTGGCATGGGTGGGAGTGTGATAGAGGGTGTCCCTAGTGCCTCTCATTAAGAAAATAGAGAAAGTAGTGTTTTTGAGTAAACAAACTAGTTTTTTTCCCCCTTGTTCAGAGGTAATAGGACTGGCATTTACTTTTTTACTTCAGCCACTTGGTGTCTACTTCCATCCAAATAAAAGAAAGAAAATGCTAAGATGCATGTTGATTAAAAAAAAGAAGATAATCTTCTCCATATTAGAAAGCAACAGCATATTCGAATTTGCCAACGGAAAGAAAATCTTAGACACCTAAAGTGTTTTAATTCTAATATTTTTCTAATTAGAAAAAGGGCAATATGCCATATTCAAAATTACATAATAAATAACATATAAACGTTCGGTGTGGGGGGGCTACAATGTCACTGCAGTTGTAAAGAGAGATTTTTTTTTGCAAAAACTAGATCACTTTACAAAATGGCCGCAGTCATTTTTGGTAAAAAATAGCTCGTTTTGCAATTGCAGTTATCGTGTGAAAGAACCAACTGAAACTGTCACTGATTTTTTTCCTCTCTTTTCTAATAAATTATGAGTACAGTTATAGTTACAAACTCAACCAAACTATCCTATATAATTATAAAGCTCAAGAACAAAGTTATCAAAGCTAAGGTAAGAAACATTTATATACAGTGAAATCGTCATCATTAACATTAGGATATCAGTCAGCAGCTCATTCTCTATTGCCTTTTTGACAAGCATATCTAGTATGGAGTCAAAATAAAATCCTGTTTATCCAAATGGATTTGCAACTCTCAACCTCTTATTATATAGAATGCAAACCTTTTATAGGGGGAAAAAAGTAAGGATATTACTCTCATATGCATTGTTTTAAGAAAAGCTCAGAGGAATTACAGAGGCTTACCATCTGAAAACTCAAACACGACTGCATGAATGAATACTTCAACTGACAGCAACTCACAAAATGCCTGCTAGTTCCTCTTGTTTGATTTGACAGTAGGGAAACAAATAATAATATAAGAAACCAAGAAGTTTAATGCTTAGAACGAGAGAAATGATTGTCATTAGGATTTCTTTTTCCACTGAATACTGCCAGTGCTTTTCTCACAGGAGGCTTTAGAGGAGCTCTCTTCTCGCCACAGTGGGTAAAGATGTCATCAGAACATAGGAAATCCTGGTCCTGAAATGAAATTGAACTATGTCAACAAGACATGAAAATAACTAAAAATTTAAATGTAAAATTAACAAAAAGACAATGAAATTTGGGTTTTTTTTAATTTCTTCACAAAACAGCCCCATAACGTTCTTATTAAAGAAAATTACCATAAACTTTCAAAATGGTGAAGGTCCTCATCTGTTTTAGACATACTCTTATATACTTATATATCTTCTATGTTATCCTCTACCCCTCCCCCTTATGTACTTCATATATTTTCTATGTTATCCTCTCCCCCTCTCCTATTTTCAGGGTAGTTTATAAACTTTTATCAAGCTGTTAACATAGTTAGCAAACAACTTTCAGCAGTTTATGGCGTGTTTCTGCAAGTTCGAAATTTTCATGGTAGTTTTGTGCAAAACCAGCCAAACTTTCATAGTAGTTTTGCGAAATGTACCCTAACGCAAATAGAGCAGTATAGACTTGAGAAATGAGAACTGTATCAAGACGAAGATTAATGATTTTGCAGCCAGGGCAGCAAATGTATAGGAGAGAAACGTCACCTGCTTGTTTGTCTTCTTCTTTGCTTTTGGGTAAAGAAGTTTGTGAGGAAGTTGATCTTCTCGCAAAATCATGTCTTTAGTGATGGCATCTCTTCCTCCTTGAGGCAAAGGAAGTGAGAACTGCACAATAGCAAAGTTCACTGGGTTAGAAATTAAAAGGGCGTCATGAAGCATTTAACATGATGGCCCTAGCAACTTTTTTTAATCAATAGCATCTGCATGTGTTTGTCTTCACATGGTGATGCAAGATGCAAACGCAAAGTCCCTTAAAATTTTAGTCGGAGAGAGAAGCATAGCAGTGATATTAGGCGAACAATGTAACCTACACGTAAATCTTACAACAGAAAGTTTGAGCATAGCCACAGCCACAAAGAAAAAGAATGCACACAGATTGAAGATGAAAAATGTGAAGCTGTAGAATCCATGGGTGCGAAAATTTAACGTACTGATCAACAAATGGTGCAAAGATACTTACTTTTGTACCCCGAAGAGTTATACGTTGGCGACGAGCTGCTAGCAAAACTCCATTTTCACCAACCGTCACAGATACTTTGCGCAAGGTGCCACCATTACCACATTTAGGACAAAATATTCGTCCAATTTCTTGCGTCACTTTGTTGCAAGCATGACATTTCAACACCCATCTGTTACAAACAAAAAACTCAGCTGTTGAAAAAAAAAAGAAGTCTATTCATAAACTTTTATGATTTCCTTTGATCTATAGTTAGCTAAAAGTTCCTCAGATCTACCGACCTGGATTTGTCACCAACTGAGCAGAAATTTAGTTTGTTAAAAATTACTAACGAAACCAACCACGTTGAAAGCAAAAGGAAAAAATGAATGACCTACCTATGCAACTGACGGATTTGCATCCCACCCGGCGCCAAAAGACGAAGGCCAATCTGCAGAATAACATTTTGCATGGCAAAGTCACTAGTAACACAAGCAACACTTGAGTCAGATAAGGAGCGAAGCATCCAACTCTGTTCACTACTAGCATCATCAACTGCAGATGTGTCGATACTTCCATCAGTCTGACTTGATATTTCAGAATTATCAAATTCTTCTGTGTTCAGATCGTTCTCATCTGCTTCTGGAGAAACGGGTAGATCATCTAAAGTGCCATCAAGAATTAACTGGTGGTCAGATCCTATATTTACATCAGTGATGTCCTGCTCTTTTACCTCCTCAGTAGGCTCAGAAACATCTTGACCCAGTTTCATATGTTCTAGCGCAGATGAAATGCAACACTCTTCAAGATTTCCCTCTGTATCATCATTAGCAGAAGGCTTATCTTCACACTTTCCATCTTCAGACAGAACATCATCAGTTTCTGTTACTGAAGTATCCCCACATGCCATTACCTCACATGGTTGGCCATCTTCATTAGAAGCGCTTGCTAATTCACGCCTTGCTTTTCTTCTCAGGTATCTCCTGTGAGTACTACGGCTAACAGCAGGCCGCCAATCATCATTATTTTCAGTGTCTTCCCCAAGAGAAGCATCGATGCCATCTGCTACCATCTTCTTTCCATCAAGTTTAATCTCTTTCTTCGGGAAAGTAAACCTTCTTGTTCTACCAGCAGCCTGGTCTTTTTCGTCCTGATCTCTCATTTCGGAAAGAGAACCATTTTCCGGGACAATGTTACCATTCAGGTCCTTTAAAGGAAGTAACCGAGATTCATTGCTCAATCCGCCTTCAGTTAGCTGCTCAAGAGCTTCCCATTCAGCTAAGTTAGGCACATTATTACCCCAACCAGGCATTTGCGCTTCTGGTAGGCTTTTCACGTTCAGCACATGAAGTGGAGGGGGGCTATCCCTAAGATGATTAGTCCCGTGGATTTGGGTCTCTAGCATATATGTCAGTGCAATAAGTTTAAGATCGACATCTGAAAGGGTCTGCAAGTCCCCAGTTTCCCTTGCAAACCTGACAACTGAAATTTGAGAGTGACAACTTATTCTCCTTACATGCAATAATTTAAAGGAAACAGGAAACTGAGTGAATAAAATCATGATAACCAAAAGATGCATGCCAAGATTAAATTTCAATAACATAGACTAGAAACTAAACTGTAACTTTTAATGCCTCCAGGAGTGCCTGTACTTCTCAAGAAGAAAGCAAATGGAGTAGTTACTTTCTTGTTCAGAAACTAAAAGTTGAAAGAGTTTAAAAGGCAGGATAATTCAGACTGAGGTTGTATTGCAGGCTTACTAAAAAAAGGTTCCATTGAGCTTACTGGAAATCTAGTTTATTATGATGGGAAAGTGACATCACCTCCAGAGATGGATAGTCAAGTGTTATTTATAGTAATAAAAAAATGACATGTTCTTCCCAATTGCATAAAAGAAAATGGGCCCAATGGACGTCTCTAATTTTCATATGTTACTCTAAAATTCCCCAGCTGAAACATAAAAATCAGCCATGCCCAGGTTGTGAGATAAAAGCAAAAAACTTTTGTTTAGTGAAAATATTACAGTAACCATCCAAACTGACAAAAGAAGAAACAATCTGCTTGGCCGGTCACAAGTAGTAGTTAATTCCAAACCTCAGGACCTCAGAAGTTTTAGCAACAACAGTCATAAGAAATTGATTGGACGGAGTAACCAATTTTAATTTGTCTTCGGCACCTAGAAAATGTACCTGGACTTTGTTGTTCAGCTTTGTAGTAGTAATAAGAAGACCATCAAGGCAACAAATCACATACATCTTTGGTCTCAAACATGGAGACAGTTGGGTCTCAGACATTGAGCTAATTAGGTGTCAGATATGGAGACAGATAGCAGGGTCTTAGATATAAAGACAGGTAGGTCTTGGACCTGAAAACAAATAGATCTCAGACTCAAAGACAGGTACTCGGTTCTCAGAAATGATGACAAACAGTTGGATTTCAAACATGAAGACAGATAGTTCTCAGACATAGAGACATACAGGATGAAGAAATTAAAGTTAATGACCCTCTCATGCCTTTAAATAATTATATACAGCGACTACTCTTTTCCCCAGAATTATGCCTATAACTTTTTGCTATTGACTCTCCAGTCACAGGAAATTATGGTAAAGATCATTCATGTGACAATCCACATGTTAAGTATATTCCAACAATTTCAATGAATAATAACATACAAAAAAAAATAGACCAGTAGGCAGTAGCTTCAATAAGTGCATGGCCTAAAATGAGCTTAAGTCATGAAGTTAATAAAAGAGTAAATTTTAAAACTGTTTTGTACAAAACCCCCTTGAACTTTGAAACTAGAGAAAAAGCCCTCCCAACCTTCAGGGGGTTTCACAGAACCCTCGAACTTCTGAAAAGTAGCCCTCTTGACAAATTCCACTCTCAAGTTTCTTGGGGAAGAGGGGATAAAGGAAAATAGAGGAAAGTAGGGAACTGTTAATGGTTTTCTTAAAAAGGTTAGTTTATTTCTGTGGAACTTTTGAAAGTTCAAAGGAGTTTTGTGCAACTCTCAAAAGTTTAAAGGGGGTTTTCTTTATTTCAGAGTATGGGGTTCTCAAATCACCCTGCAGGAGGGTTTTGTGAAATTCACCTCAATTAGACAAATTGATCCCCCAAAGCCATAAGTTTATTTCTCATTCACTTCCATATGAAGATATTCCTGAATAAAATTACTGTCAAACTTTTTTTGCCATTTTGGGTATCAATTTGTCAAAATAGAGTTTTATGGTAAAAAATTCGAAAAACGGTGACACTTTGGAGTATCACAGCACCAATAAATAAGCCGAGAAGCTTAGCAATTTAATAACTTTTTTTTGAAGCAGAACCTCCTCAATTCCATAATTAAAGTTTCCAAACCCTCACCTTTCTTGATGGATTCAGGAGACGGCTCCATCGTCTCGACGGTCAGAGGCAAGAAC